GTGTTTTACCCAATAACAATGCGTGTGAGTCCTTTGTGCCGATGCAACGTCTGTATCATCTGAAAACAATCCTGGTTTTGTGGATATTCATGGGATTCAAATCCTGTTTATTCATGTGATAAACTCCCTACTCTTTTCAGCACCAAGTAACAACTCTACTACCACATTGCACTGGAATTTTAGTTTTTAACAGTAAAATTCATTAGAGATGTAAGATTTCTTTTAGCGTTCAGGACCATTATATTCTGGTGTTTTTGCCAGTTTTCTTTTCTGCCTTTGGTTTTATAGTTTTTGGTTTATACATTCCTGTGTATTTAAATTGTTTTAATACAGATTTATGTGATGGTGACCAGACAACTTTACACTGCAGAGTGGCATACAAATACCAATCTTGGTTTGTATTTGCAAACCTATCATAGCGTCTTCTTGACAAGATTTGTTCAGAGGACATTTGTCACTGCTTTCCTCTGAGGCTGAGAAATTATGATTTGCCCAAGGTCACCCAGTGGTTTTCATGACCAAGCTGGGATTCAAACCCTGGCCACCAGAGTTGTAGTCCAGTACTCAAACCACTATGGCATGCTGGCTCTCAAATACAAATCTATCTATCTATTTATCATCCATTATGTGATCCACATAGTGCAAATACAGGTTTATCATCTTCCTAAGAACTAAGCCTTTGAGTTCATTTACACATCACATATTTGCATGTTAGGTAATAAAATCAGGCAGGATAAAGCTTTAAACAGTTCTTTATCCCCAAAGTATTTATTTCTCACACTATATCCCATTTATTTATATAGACAAAAGACATTCCCATAAATAACATGGAAGAGCCTGACATTTTCATAAATAGCTCACACTTTCATAAATAGTGTGAAAGAGGTTCAGCCCCATCTAACAAAAACTCCTGTCATTTTATATTTTTGGATAGAGTTTTAGGAAGGTTACTAACACAGAGTCACAAATTGTAGAATAATATGTATTGGCATGCCTCTGTATTCATGATCTTATACATAATTATTTCAAACTAATGAACTAAATACCTGGACTGGGGGAAGGGGAAGCATTACCCAACTGGATGTTTTGAAATGATAAAATATATCATACCCAGATAGCAGGACTATAAGTCATGTTGGCTAGGAATGCTAGGAGTTACAGTCCAATAGACTGAGATGTGGTTGACACAGATCATAGTTGGAAGATACCACAAGGGCCATCCAGTCCAACCCCCTGCCATGCATGAACTCACAATCACAGCATCCCCGACAGATGGCCATCCAGCCTCTGCTTTAAAACCTCAAAAGAAGGTGACTCCACTACTTTCTAAGGCATTGTATTCCACTATCAAACAGCTCTTACTCTCAGGAAGTTCTTCCAGATGTTTGCAAGTATGTGTTGAATCACCTGAAAATATATCTTTCAAACTGGGAATGTAAACTCTCGGGGTTGAGTACTTGGGGCCAACCTAGCAAATAAATCTCTACATGATTAACATAATCTCAAGGGCAGGCATGTTGCACCCTCTTCTCAGTTTGAAAAGTCCTCTCTGACCTAGGCAATATGTGTTAAACATTTGGGTTTCCCTATAGAGTGAGCATGCAGCCATCCAGAGGTACTTGGACTCCAGCTACCATCAGTCCCAGCCACCATGGCAAATGGTCAGGAAGGATGGGAGTTGTAATCCACCAACTTCTGGAAAGCTGCACATTTCCCTGTCTCTGCTACTTAGGAAACAGTTGGAACTGATCTGGGCTTATTTCCTATTCTAAACCATTTAACACTTAGGCATAGACTCTCCATTTCCCAGCACATTACATGAATAAATCTTGCACACCCCAAAGTATGTTTCAGAACTTTTAGCTATCAGGAAATGGTGGTGCTTTTAGATCCAATCCCTATATCTAGTGTTTGGGAAAGTAATTTTGAGGTTCCATTTGATGAAATCTGTACAGAGGCACAAGTCAACAATAAATTGGTTCAGAGCACAAAGTGCATAGGGTCCCCTCACTTAATCTGCGTGTCTCGTAAACACACACACACCCCATTCACCTGACTTGTGAAGTAGGAAGAGTTTATTTCTTGGAATGTACTTTTTGGACTACAATGCCCAGAATCTCACAATCAGCATGCAACTTTTGCTTGCTTTGAAAGTTCTGGATGCAGATGTGAAGGCTAGAAATGATCAGAAAATGAGGATTTGTGAAGTGATGGGAAATGAAGTATTTAACCCATTCCCAATTCCATTTCACCAATCAAAATCTTGCCTCTTCAAATTACTTTTGGTATAAACATAAAAAGAAATGAAGGATGTGTTAGAAGTCCCAATCCTCTGTGATCTAAACTTAAAGTCCTGGGAATGCTTTTCCACCAGTTCTCTCTCTATCAGTCCTCTCTTCACTAGATTAGCACTGTGAGTAACTTTCTCATTTTATAATGGAGTTCCTGTAATAAAGTCCTTGGTTTGATCTTCTAAGGCAGGGGTCGGCAACATTTTCTTACCTGGGGCCAGTCGCTGGTCCCCAGATCTTTCGCCGGGCCGAGGGGGGAGGGGAATGGTGCTGCGCGTGCGCGCATGCACAGTATGCCAGAAGTACTGCGCATGCGCGAGTGAGTAACAGCTGCCATTTTGGAAAACAAAATAGTGGTCGCGACTCGTTTGTGCATGCGCAGTACTCGGCGCATGCGCAAATGAGTCATGGCCACCATTTTGTTTTCCAAAATGGCGGTCGTGACTTGTTCGTGCATGCGCAGGAGTACTGCACATGCGCAAACGAGTCGCAGCTGCCATTTTGGAACACCAAATGGTGACTGGACTGCGACGCCCGCGGCGGTGGGAGGTAGTGGCAGGGGCCGCCAGCGGTGGCATGACTGGCCTGGGGCCGGTCCAAAGGCCTCGGGGGGGCAGCCCCAGCCCCTGGGCCATAGGTTGCTGACCCCTGTTCTAAGCCATTGATGTCTTTGCTCCTTAACCAATATCTCTAACCACTGCACACTTTCTCCATCAAGATAGCCATATTATAGAGAGCCAGAGTGGTGTAGTAGTTTGAGTGTTGGACTAAAATCAGGGCTTCAATGCCCCACTTAGCCATGGAAATTCATTGAGTGAACTTGGCCAAAGTCATACTTTCTCAGCCTGAGAATAGGGCAACAGCAAACATCCTCTGAATAAACCTTGCCAGGAAACACAGATAGGCATGGGGAAAAAAAACCTTTAAAAACATGCCCTCTCCCCAAATCTGGGGTGATAAGGCCGCATGACATATGGCTCTTTCTGCCCCAGATTTGGGGTTGTTGTTGTTATTGTTGTGTGCCTTCAAGTCATTTCTGACTTATGGTGACCCTAAGGTGAACCTATCATGGGGTTTTCTTGGCAAGATTTGTTCAGAGGAAGTTTGCCATTGCCTGCCCTTGAGGTTGAGAGCACGCAATTTGCAGGTTATCTTCTGTTATCATGGGTTTTACTCTGGAATTTTTTCCAAAATTTGCCTGGACAGGCGCTGTCATTTAAATGGCTGGGCCAGTTCCCAGGTCCAAACATTGAGGTGTTTCCCTTGACAGCACCACTGCCATCAGCTTGCAGCCACTTGCTTTAAAGGTCAAAGTGACCAATCACATGCTCAGAGGCAATGGCATGATGGGCATGCCAGTGGAGATGGTACTGCCAAGGGAGGAAGAGGGGAACAAATCTCAACATTTGGGCCAGGAACTGGCCCTTGATGTTACATGGTAGTGTCTGTCAGGATCAGTCCTGACTTTTAAAGGTAGTGGTCTCCCTTTGAAAGGAACAGTTGAGTAGTGTAGACAATCCACCAGATGTCCCTCATTTTCTTACTGCAAAGAAAAAGTTACAGAAGGTGACTCTGGGATGGATGCAGGGACAGAAAAGGCAGGAGTTCATTCAGACTTTTACCCCTATTGTAGCCAAGCACTTAAGGTTGCCATTAGTGGGAAATTATTTGTAGGCCCACAACAACAACAGAAAACTTGTATCACATCTCTCATTTTATCACTCTGGGCCTAATACCAAGCATGGGAGATTCGACAAATGCTTGTGGAATGTTTGTTGTTGTTGTTGTTGTTGTTGTTGTTGTTATTGTTATGCTCCTTCATGTCATTTCCAATTTGTGGCAACCCTAAGGCTAACCTATCATGGGTTTTCTGAGGCTGATAGTGTGCGACTCACCCTAGGTCACCCTGTGGGTTTCCATGGCCAGGCAGGGAATCACATTCACACCCTCATCTCTAGAGTCAGAGTCCAATGCTCAAACCCCTAGACCACACTGATTCCTGGAACAGCAGCTTCAAAAGATCTCATAATTTCCAGCCAGTGTTCTGGTGTGAGTCTACTTTCCCACATCAGGCCTGTTTCAGCTCCTCTCAAAATTTATCTCACCAGCACAAAACCCACTCCAATCTCTATCACATAAACAAATCTTGAAAATTGTTTTAGAATGGTGTGCAAAAACCTAAAGTAATTCCTGCTTTACTGACAGGGGCATAAAGGTTGCTACAGTAGTACTGACAATACATAGCAGTGATGTCACTAGGGGCTTGTGGTGGTGCAGTCTGAACAGGGTGACACCCCAGAAGGGGCACCTGGTTGGGACCCCCCACACTCCCCCCTTGCACCATCCCCGCACCTTCCTGCACTCCCCCATGCATGCTCCCACCCTCCCCACACTGTTCCATGCTCCTTCGCATGTATTGCCCCCTGCACCATCCCAGACAGGATGGCATGGGGTGAAGGAGCACGCACCCCCAGAAGCCCCCCCCCAAACCAGGTGACACCTGGTGCAGGCACGCCACTGATACATAGAAAGATTTTTTATTTTATTTTATATTTATATTTTATAAAGATATGTTATATCCTTAAATCTGTTTTCAGCTTATCAGTGCAATTTAATCTGTTTTCAGCTTATTTAATTATTTTATTGCTTTAAATTATGTAAATTGTTTTACTGTTTTTTGTAAGCCACTCTGAGATCTCTGATATAGGTCAGTTTGAGCATTTAACTACAACTCTGGAGATCAGGGTTTGATTCCCGGATTGGCCATGGAAACCCACTGGGTGACCTTAGGTGAGTCACATACTCTTAGCCCCAGAAAACCCCTTAATAGGGCTTAGGGTCATCGTAGATTGTCATACACCTTTCTGTCATCTTAGGTCAGAAATGACTTGAAGGCACACAACAATAACAAATATTTTAATAATAACAACAACAATAATAATTTGTCCTTAAACATGAAGATGACTAGGTAAAGCAGTTTTCTCCCTGCTATGGGTAAAAAGAAGTATTTTGCTGCAGTATCTTCCCAGCATTCTAACTTCCAAACTGTTGTGTATATTTTATTGCACAAAACTCTCATTTTCTGCACTGGAATCTCATTGCCTGCATCAAAAATGGATCAGGGAATGTTGCAGAATAAAAAAATGTTTTTACTTTGAAGTATGATTCCTGTACAACATTTTAGAATGGTGAATACCAAGAGAAAATTGTGCAAAATTCTTGCTGTTCCTCCTGACAGGAGTTTCCAAATGTCAGGGAATTCTATTTTTTACCTGAGAACAATAACTGGAAATAAT